CGAGTTCCTCGAGAAGGGTTGGATTAGGCCCAGTTCGTCTCCCTTCGGAGCGCCTGTTCTCTTTATTCCTAAGAAAGAGGGAGAGCTGAGAATGTGCATAGACTATAGGGGTCTGAATGCTATTACGGTAAAGAATGTTGAGCCACTGCCTAGGATAGACGATCTCTTAGATCGAGTGCAGGGGGCCAAGTATTTCTCTAAGATATATTTGAAGTCCGGGTATCATCAGATAGAGGTGCATCATGATGATCAGTACAAGACAGCCTTCCGAACTAGATATGGGCACTACGAGTTCATAGTGATGCCCTTTGGACTCACCAATGCGCCAGCTACGTTCCAGCGTTGTATGAACGATTTGTTTAGGCCGTGGTTAGACAGATTTGTTGTAGTTTATCTAGATGACATTCTAGTGTTTAGTAGGACCCTCGAAGAGCATCAGGGTCATCTCAGGCAGGTCTTGGAGAAGCTGAGGGAAGCTAACTTCAAGATCAATGCAAAGAAGTGTGATTGGGCAAAGACCCAAGTTTTGTACCTAGGCCACGTCTTAGACGGAGATGGCGTTAAGCCAGAGGATAGCAAGATCGCATCGATTAGAGATTGGCCCACACCACGTACGCTGACAGAGTTGCGCTCGTTCCTGGGCCTAGCTAATTACTATAAGAAGTTCGTGAGGAACTTCTCCGCCCCTTCGCAGATTGCTGAGAAAGGAGACCATCTGGAAGTGGGATAAGGACTGCACGTCTGCCATGAAGAAGTTAAAGCAAGCATTGATAGAGTATCCAGTCCTTAAAGTCGCCGACCCGTCCTTGCCCTTTGTCGTCACGACTGATGCGAGTCAATACGGCATAGGCGCAGTGTTGCAGCAAGACGATGGCAATGGGTATAGACCCGTAGAGTTCATGTCCGCCAGGATGCCTTCAGAGAAGGTCGCAACATCGACCTATGAGAGGGAACTCTACGCTCTCAGGCAAGCCTCAGACCACTGGAAGCACTACTTGCTTGGGAGGCACTTCGAAGTCTATTCTGACCATGAAACGTTACGATGGTTAAAGACACAGGCCAAGATGACACCTAAGCTTACTAGGTGGGCCGCGGAGATAGATCAGTACGACTTCGAGCTCAAGCCTGTCAAAGGGAAGCACAACGTAGTCGCGGATGCTCTGAGTAGGAGGGCAGATTACTTTGGGGCAATAGTACACTATCTTGATATAGGGAAGGACCTGCAACAGAAGGTTAGAGAGGCCTATGCGCAGGACCCTATCTATAGTGAGCTCCTTGAAAAGGTCAAGGAGGCCCCAGAAACTGAGCCGAACTACCGCACTACTGAAGGGCTACTCTTTGAGAAGACTAATGTATTTGACCGCCTGTGCATTCCCAATAGCGAAGAGATTCGTAGTCTGATTCTGGGCGAATGCCATGACACAGAGGGTCATTTTGTTTGGCAAAAGACTTTAGCCAATCTGATGCGCGCGTATACCTGGCCAGGGATGAAGAATGACTGCGTAGAGTATGTTCGCAGTTGTAAGGTCTGCCAGCGTAACAAGAGTTCTACGCGCGCCCCGTTAGATCTTCTCATACCCTTACCCATTCCGGACCAACCGGGAGACTCAGTGTCCATCGACTTCATGGACACTCAGGTCAAGAGCACGCATGGGAAGAGCCAAGTCATGGTCATAGTTGACCGATTTAGTAAGTACGCAGTCTTTGTTCCTTTGCCGTCAGAGGCACGTACTGATTTAATCATTCAAAGGTTTTTTGACTGTTAGGTTAGTGAGAATGGAATCCCGCTGTCGATAGTTAGCGATAGAGATAGTCGCTTTACCAGCCAGAACTGGCAAGAACTCATGGGAGTGTACGGATCTAAGTTGTTGATGTCATCTGGCCGTCATCCAGAGACTAACGGTCAGACAGAGCAAATGAACAAGATCCTACAGCAAGTTTTGTGCATGTACATTAGGCCAGATCCAGATTAACTGGGATGAGATGTTACCTAAGCTAGCTAGTGCATATAATAATAGCGTGCATCTGTCCACCTGCCGCACTCCCAACGAACTGCACAAGTCCTTTAGGCCCCGTAAGACCATTTGAAGGACTTAGCCGGGATCAGATTCACAGATTGCCACCCGGGACCAGGGAGTTTGCTGTGCAGCACGAGAAAGAACTAGCTACTGTTGTAGAGAACCTCAGGAAAGCCCAGCATAGAATGATAGAGCAAGCGAACAAACATCGTCGCCCTTCACAGTTTAAAGTAGGCGACTTAGTCTGGGTCAGTTCTAAAGAGTTTGCGCCTGAGGAGAACATCTCGCAGAAGTTACTGCCCACATATAGAGGACCGTGGCCTGTTCGGGAAGTCAAGGGCGGTGAAGATGGACCGTCCTACACCATAGAGTTACCAGCACACCTCCACACTTACCCAGTTTTCCACGCATCGAAGTTACTACCTTGTCAAACAAGTGATCAGTTTCCATCCCGTAGATCGATGATCCCACCGGATATGAATGGAAGATATGACATAGATGGTATAGTGGCTGAAGATGTCTTCAGAACTGGAGGTAGGGGTCGTCCGCAGAAACAGTATAAGGTTCATTTTAGTTATCAGGAACCGGAAGACGACCGCTGGTTTACAAGAACGGAACTTCTAGAGACAGCTCCCGATATAGTCCGGGCTTACGAGAGACAGCCGAAGGGTAAAGGTCCTGCCTTGGACTGAAATTTTCTCGGAGGACCGCAGTAGGGGTAGTCCGGGCCTACGAGAGACCGCAGTAGCGAATGCAGATCCCAGGGTTCGATCCCTAGTTCCCCATCTTACCTGTGTACAGTAGTGATGTCAACCCGTAGATTTGAACCTGTGACCTGTCGACACGCCAGTGGTAGGTAGATTGTCGTAGGCCACAGCTTGGAAGGGAATCGAACTGTAGACTTGTAGGGTAGGAGTCTAGACAGTTCCGAAGTCGTAGTTGTAGGTTGTCTGAAAGGTCAAGGTCGTAGCTGCTAATACCTGAAGGGGCAAAGTCATGGCTGCTACAACACCGAAAGGCCAAGTCGGAGGTTTCTAGAAGTGGCCTTTCGGAATGAGCCTCCGTTGAACAGAGGCAAGTGGTGAAGTGGTGGTAAGCCACCCTGCTGAGTCAACAGTCCCAGTTAGGCAGTCCGGTCCTGTCCAGCAAGTACCGTCTGGGACTGTGTGCACCAAGGGCCAAGGGACACAGGGCAGACCAACACAGCGCAGAAGTATAAATCAAGAGGCTGCGTCCAGCCATTCATTCATTCCTGCGGATGCCATGCGGAAGCGCTGCCTCAGCACCTTGTGCGAGGAGGTCGGCAGTACGCCCGAAGACGAAGTGGGCAGAGAAGTGTAGTGTAGCRACAGGGTAGTGGCAGCCATAGCTGCCATAGCTATAGTAGCGTGTGTGTGCGTGTCGCGTGTATGTACAGTGTTGCGTGTGGGACATCCAGGGTGATCCAGAGTGCGAACAGTGAGTTGTGTGGGCGCTCAGACGCCATAGCCAGTGGAAGAGAACTCTTATCTGGTTACGATATCTTTGAGTACTGTGTGGGCGCATGTCGCCAGTTTGCTGAATCGCTGTTTGCATGCTTGATGAAGTGTGAAGTCGAGTCTGATTGTAATGTCCTCAAAACTGTCCACTGTTACCCGTTCATTCACTGCATATCAATCATAACACGCCGCAGCGTCGCTGCGGCGGTTCCACTTGTTATATTAATATTAGTACAGCTGCTCTGCAACTGCTCATCTATGTAACTGCTGTGCTGATCTGCAACTCTTGAGCTGGAACTGTTGATCCGGAACTGTTGACCGGGAACCGTTGATCCGGGAACTTTTGTTGACCAGGAACTGTTGACCGGGAACTGTTGATCTGGAACTGTTGTTGATCTGGAATCGTTGATCCGGGAACTTTTGTTGACCAGGAACTGTTGACCGGGAACCGTTGATCTGGAACTGTTGTTGATCCGGGAACTGTTGACCGGGAAATATTGTTAATCCGGAACTGTTGACCGGGAACTGTCGATCTGGAACTTTTGTTGATCCGGAACCGTTGATCTGGAACTGCTGATCCGGATCTGCTGATCTGGATCTCTTGACCCGCATGGTTGCTGAATGATACAGGCCTAGAACTCTGTTCATCTTCAATGGTATCAACCTACTAGAATTGTTAATCCTCACTTTGTTTCTCAAAAAACAAGAAATAAATAGGAACCGAACTGACGCTCCACAGAATGGATATGGAGCCAGGACCATAAGGACCTGTTTCATTTTACTTTACTTTTAAAGAGACAATAATTGTCGGCCTTTTGGCTAAGATCAAGTGTAGTATCTGTCATCGGATCAGTTCAATATCTGATCTGTGGTCTATTGGGAATTCCAAAAAAAAAAAAAAAAAAAAAAAAAAAAAAAAAAAAACTCAACCCTCAGGGTTGCAGACGTCGAGAATACATCCCTGAAAAAAGAGCTTAACTCAAGTTCACTTTCGATTCTGAACGAATGACACGGAGCTCAAGCTATTGACCCTCAACTGTACACAACAAATCAAAACTCTGATGATACTGCATGGTACAGACCTAGACTCGTCAATCCTCTCACAATTTTTTAGATCGGGATACCTACAGAGCATTATTACAGAGTCAATAAGGGCCAAACCCTTAACAGTTGTGTTGATCGGAGAGGATTGACGAGTCTAGGTGTTGATGCCGAATGGTAACGTAAAGACTCTAAAGCGTTAAAAGAGTCAAACCCTTAACAGTTGTGTTTATCCTGCCTGAATGATAAAGCTATGGAACCACTGAGATACGCGATGTGATGCTACGAGTGAAGAGCTCAAACCCTTAACAGTTGTCATAAATATATTGGGGGTACCCCCGCACTCCTCCTGAAGTTGCGGAGTCATTTTGCACAACAGTTTGAAAGGGGAGGGGAAGGCGGGGAGGGGGAGAGGAGGTGGTAGAAAGGGGGAAAAAAAAGAGGGGGGAAGCAACACACATACCCTTTGCGTCCATCCATTGAATGAGCCAGCCAACTCCACATCGATCGCAGGACTTGGCCACACGATTCGCACCGACCTTAGTTCACCAATCGCCAGCTCCATATCTTCCAGCTGCTTTTCTTTCTCGTCTAATAACCTCCAAGCCTCCCTGTTGTGTTTTCCATTCACCAATAACGAAAACATATATCCAAAAAAATCCTTAGCATCCAAAGTTCACAAACACCACACACACACACACACACAAAACAAAAAAATCCCCCTTCGCATCCAAAGTTCACAAACACCATCCACAGAGAGAGAGAGAGAGAGAGCATAACCATTCGCATTCAAAGTTCACAACCACTATCCACACACACACACAAACACACACACACACACACACACAGAGAGAGAGAGAGAGAGAGAGAGAGAGAGAGAGAGAGAGAGAGAGAGAGAGAGAGAGAGAGAGAGAGATGACGTAGTGGACCTGAGGGTACAAAAATACTAAAATAACCAAATTTCTGAAATTCATAAACTGTTCATTCAAATTAATAAATTGCAGAAAGAGGCTAAAATGCACACAGGCAAACAGCAGATTTCCGCGAAGAAAAGCTTGGTGTTCCACCCACCGGACTCCCAATATGCACCCAGAGAGTCCTGACACTGATTATCTTCAGAGATTTGGCCATACGGCCTGACAGGTTGCCCTGCAGGGGATTAACTACCATCTCCCCCCGAATACAACACACCCTCAGCATGACTGTATCGAATAGGGAGATACCTTGTATGCATTCATCATCCGGGTACGTTGTATTTGGGTGAAGAGGGTAGCCGAAGATCTTGCCGATTGCTTCCTCTCATGTGAGTGACACACCTGATTTCTGTAGCCATTCTTCCCTCTAGCGATGCCAGCTCAGCCCTCGTGCTGCGAACAGCCGCCTGCATCTCAAGTATATCATCCTCCTGGAACTCCAACAAATCTGACGCTGCTCCCAACTCCTCCGGCGTCTCTGTCCTCCAGTCCTGCATATCAATCACCAACCCCACCATTTCCAGCAATTAAAATTATGAAATCATTAGATTCATTACATATATGCAGGCACAGAAAAAAAAGAAAAACATACAGGCAGGCAAAACAGCGACAATAACAAGTTAAGCAGGTCAGATGTAGCTTCTCTTGTCTACATCTACATCTACATACTACTAAGGAAAAGCTGGGTCTCGTGTGACGCCCCTGCAAGACCCGGTTGCTAGTCTTGGGAAAATGCTGGGGACAGGGGGGCCAGGCCCAAGGGAAACTGCAAGTGAGTTCGGCACGCGTTGTGTGTTTGGATATAAGTACATAGTGCAGAGCCTTTCGTTGGGTTACTTCAGTTTCAGTAGTACCGTGATTTGGTTTTCAGCTGCACATCTGTAAGGGGCGTTTACTTCGTTTCCTTTTTTTTTGGCGTCGCGTTCAGTTTGTCCTTAGGGCCCTCCTCCACTACTCTGCAAAATGAGACTGGATCTTGGACTGGAGCACCGAACGACACAACTCCGTTTCATGTTTTTTGTTTTTTTTTTTTCACATAGCGTCTTTTTTTTCTGTCGTTTGGGCCTTCGCTCCACGACCCTCCAGATGCACAAATTAAGTTTGGTGACGTATCTTTCCATGTTCTAGAGGAGGATTCGTTTGCTCTTTTCTTGGCCAGTAGCGGGGCCACGGCTTTTGCTGCACGACTCTCCACATGCACAAAAGACGTGTACCTTTCCACGTTCTCCATGTTTAATATGAGAACAAATTCTCCTCTAGAACATGAAAAGATACATCGCAAACTTTTTTTTGTCTTTTGTGCATGTAGAGGGTAGTGGAGCAAGGCCCAGGCCCCCCTACTGACCAAATGTCCTTGCAAGAACCAATCCTGTTTTTTCTTTTTTTCGGGGGGGTTGGGGTTGGCAGAAGAACGAATCCTCCTGTAGAACATGGAAAGATACACCGCCAATTGTTTTTAGTTTTTTTCCCTCTCTGACAGCCTGGAAATGAGATCAGCAGGGTGATGGCCTTTAGATACCATCATTGAAACTGCCCCGGGCAATTCAGAATGATCTTATTCTTTTCATCTGAAGGTATCTGGACTGGATTCGAACTTGGTGATTTCAACAGTATTTCTGGGGGGAGTCTGTATTTCAACAGTGCTGAGGTGTACCAACTGAGCTAGGCCCGTTGGTGAGTTATGCTATTTTGCTCATCTGCTTCCAGTGAAGTTCAAACGGTGGAGGGGTATACCAACTGAGGGCCTACTTACACTACCACGATCTTAAATGTGCCCGACCGCATTTACGGGCGGAATTATATGCATCTGGCCACAGTTCCATCCACAAATAAGTAAAAAAATGGACCATTTCTTGATTTATGCGTGTCCTCCTTGGATTCCTGGCACAGGTGCCATGCTAATCTTCACTGTGAGGATTGGCTGATGCGTTTGGGTTCGGCTGAACATTTTTATTTTTTTTGTGTGGTTTAATTCTCTGGGTTCAGTATACCACCAGTGCAGTGACATGGCCCTCCTTCAAGTTTTATCTCATTCCCGCCTCTGGACCGCGGCTTCGCCGCGGTGGGTCTGACTTGTTACCCCCCAAAAAAAGGTGTGTGTGTGTGTGTGTGTGTGTGTGTGTGTGTGTGTGTGTGTGTGTGTGTGTGTGTGTGTGTGTGTGAGAGAGAGAGAGAGACTATTCATCGACAAGCAGCTACGTCAATGAAGCAGCTCTCCATATGGGAGTATTTAGTATTGAGCTTGCAAGGAAGTAGAAGTGGACAGTCATAGCCAAGGAAAACATGGGCTTACGGGAATACCACTGCGTATAATTTCCTCCTCTTCCGGAGCAGGCCTCCTAGAGCAGTGCTTCAGCTCTTTGAGACATATTCGGTCAATTATTCATTCTCTCCTGGATCTTGTTATTGTTTTAAGAATGCATGTCAAGTGACTGGCCCATCTTCGACTCTTTGCGACAATATCCACTACTCTCTGTTCCCCCTCTCTCCCCCCGATCCACCTCCTCACACACACTATTCTGTCGTGTCCTTGACTGTGTTATCACTCCATCTTCATCTTCACCGTGTCCTTGACTATCTTATCACCGAATCTTCACCGTGCCTTCACTATCTTATCACTGAATCTTCGCCGTGTCTTGAGTAACTTATCACTGAATCTTCACCATGTCTAGACTGTCTTATCACTGTATCTTCACCGTGTCTTGACCACTCCATTTTCACTGTGTCTTGACTGTCATATCACTTTATTAAAGTTTATTTCCCCGTGTCTCGACTGCCTTATCACTGAACCTTCACCGTGTTATGACTATCTTATCACTGTGCCTTCACCGTGTCTCGATGCCTTATCAACTGTTTCGCTCTCGCTGACTTCATCTAAGATTGCTTTCTCCTCAGTTCCCACCTTTCCCCAAACAGTACATATCAACAAACAGAACTGCCCGGTAAACCGTAGGCAGAGATGGATAAGGGGACAACAAACAAGGGGCTGTGACAGGCTGTTTTGTCAGAGTTTCACCGACTAATCAGGAGGCTGAACCCTCTACAGTCTGAAGAGTCCCCCCCTAACTGATGATACTGAAAGTGATAATCCACCTTAACCCCGGTTGTGGTTAAGCATCAACGACCGGCCGACAACTGATACCCTGAGGTGGGTAGCAACCACTGCCCTCAAGGTAACTGTGACGAAAATCAAAGCAGACTACCACTCACCCACACCAGACGGAAACTCTACAGACTGCAGGTTCACACCCCATCACCAGCCAGCAAAACACCCACGAAACGAAGAAAGGTCATCACAGCCAGAAAATACACTCCAGACACGCCGCTGGCACTAGAGGCACAGCATGGCCGTGTAGTGACGGCCCCGACCACTGCCGCTCGACCTGACCGGAGAATTTACAAATGCCCTGATAATTTACAGATATGTAGTTTACATGATCAATAACTCATTAAAAAAGTTTCAGAAAATAATAAATTTTTTTAGGACCCGAAATAAAGTGAAAACAAAAAGTTAAAAGTGAAAAAAAACAAAATAGTGAGTGGGCGAGCACGTTTTGACACCCTCATCTTTGACGATTTTTGATGTTTTTTTGGCTTAGCAGAATGGCTTCAAAATTGATAGGCGTGTAGGCTACATCATAGAGAACTCACAAAAAAAAAAATTCTGAAAAAAAACTTATTTTTTGGCCCCGAAACTTTTTTTGGCGGGGGCCGAACCTGGAGGTGTTCAGCCCCCGAACGGGACCCCGAACGGGACCCCGAACGCCCGAACGTTCGGGGGCCAGCCCGGGGGCCCCCGAACGTTCGGTCAGGTAACCCTGTATACATATATCGTCACAAACAGAACTGCCCGGTAAACCGTAGGCAGAGAGAGAGAAGAGGACAACAAACGAGGGGCTGTGACAAACTGTTTCGTCGGAGTTTCAC